CCTTCCTGTAAGCATCAAGGACTGCAACTTTTCAGATGAAGAAACTTGTTCCTGTTTTAAGTCTATGCCAGGTTCATTCCCCTATAGCCCACAGTTTTCAAAAGCAGAAGAAAAAGTAATCCAGAATTAAAAAAATAAAAACCCCTCTGTTTCCAGAACGAAGTTACCCTGTCAGCTTGCCTTGGGCCTTAGGTGGGAAGTGGAGATTAAAGAGTCAGTATTCCTTTTCATGTTTCGTCTGCCAGTTTTGTGAATGTAGAAAGAGTACTTGTGGCTGCTGCTAAGTATCCGACTGTGGTATTAAGTATGGCATTTTCATCTTCATGCAGTAAATTAAAAATATTCTTATAAGTTTATCACAAGGGGAATTCAGTATCAATACCATCCAGTCATTGATAAAGGTATTTCAAGGAGAAGGGTGAATAGCACAGCAGATGTAACCTCAATATTTTCACCAATTATAAAGAGCCTCTTTGTGAAGCTGTGTGAATATGTAAGATGATCTCATCATTTCCTATTTACTCAATACTTACCTGAATACGCAATATAGTGTAGCTTTTAAATGCATATGCACATGAGTAAAATGTCCTTTTGTAAGAGACTTCGCTAAAAGACTGCTTTTGATACACAATTTCTTCATCTCCTCTTCAAACTGAATTAAGCTACTTCCTTCTTTTAAAACACAACTCACTATTTAGAAGCTTTGGCTTTGATTTCTCAGAACAGCCTTACAGGAAGAAACTATGTTCTTTTTCTTTTTGTAACCATATTTCTGAAGACAAACTTGTACTGATTTATTTTGATTTTCTAACAGAAATAGGTTCCTGCAAAGAACACTGACTGCTTCTTCTTCTGCCCCCTCCTTCACTCCACTGCTACAAGAATATTGCTGTGCACAAAGCTACCAAGGAAAACTGAAATCCCTTTGTTGGGAACTGTGTACATAGCAATAGAATCATACTTTGAGAAATAAGTGAGATTTTTTTCTAGTTCTTAGCACGACATACTGTGCATTTCTTGCATGCTAACCGCTGAATTCAAATTGAGTAACTAGGTAACATTTCAGCAAATTTTAGTCAAGTTTAGCATCCACCATTTTAGGGAATATCTCTGTGCAGCTAGCATAAAGGTCACCAGTTTTAAAACATTAACCCCCAGTTATTCCCTTTGATTAAAGGGGTTTTATATATATGTGTGTATATATATATAATTATATTTGTCATCCTATTCCTAATATTTAAGAATTGTTTCATTCTCCTGTTAGACTAATTGTAAAGATTTTTCCTGATGGCTATGAAGCTGAAATCCAGTGTTAGAAAGATTTCTCTATATTTCCACTTCATATGGCTTAGTAACAAGGCCTTTTTTAACTCCATCTTTTAAACATGTAACTGCCATTAACATTTTGCATTGGTTAGCAGAAGCAGCTAAGCCTGTAAGAGAATCACCACCCCTGCTATTCTTACAAATGGACTGATACACCCAATCCTGCATAATCCCATGTAACTTCAGTCACATGAGCTGTCCCACCGATCCGGTCACAAGTCTCACCTTCCCCTGTACTGCATTGCCTGCCAGACTGGATACTCCATGTATAATACAAATAGAAATTTAAAACTGTTTGCATTTCTCAGTGTACAAAAGTACAGAGCTGAGCCCTGATTCTCAGTAAGGGATTTGCCTTAAGTACAGTCTGAATAAGTTCAGGATGTGGTCCACATGGCATTACTTTTTCAGAAGTTTATGCTAAGCTGAAATGTGTGGTCTGTTGCTAGTACCAAAACATAACTTCACAAGCAGAACTTAGGTGGACTAATTATTTACTTTCATTTTTTCCCAAAATCAGTAGCTTTATTAGTGGACCCCCTGTACCTTGCAAACTGAATAGCCTCAAAATGAAACGGGGCTTTGCTCAGTAACACTAGGTTATCAGTAAACCAGATAGACTTCCCTTCCTGATATGTCCTTCTAGTTGCTTGTTTTCTCAAAATTCTCATCTAATTTCTAAGTTTCAGTTTGGCAATGCCAACAATTAAAAAATACCATAAATTAGAAAACATTTCAATTTTTTTCATTCTTTCTCTTTCATCAGGTCAAGCAATTTCTTCCCAAGCTATAGCATGAGCTTTCAGAACTGGCTTGGGGTGCCTAGTTCACTCTCAAAGGATGTAAGAACCAGATTTAGCAGCGCAGCACAGCTGGTCTGACAGAGAATCTCTTTACAGAGAGAATTTTTATATTGAATCGTGGGACTTCCTTCAGAGCGTGGTCCACAAATCTCTCATATGAAACATGCTTTAGACAGATGCAGGAAGGAAAATCCTGTGTATGTGGTAATATATCTGTGCTGGCCAAATAGAGAGTGGGAATTTGCAGGTAGATGAACTTCATGGAATGCTCATTTTTAAGACAGTATTTCAAATATTGTTTGGACGTATAGTAATTTGGGAGCCTGAACTCTGTAGATGGTTTGCATGCAACTTGATGCACTGAATTCTCTTTCGTAAAAAAGCAAGCACCTTTTCCTTCAGAAATAACTTACAAGGTTTTAATTTCCCCCTTTTTCCCATAGTTCTGAAATGAATACTCTGTTCAGCTCATGACATAGACTTTTCCAGTGGTGCAACAACCAATATAAAAGGCACTGAGGGAGGAAGGACTTGTCTAGGATGAAACGGACTAGAAGAGCTGGAGGATCTGGGTCCTCATAGCTATCACTATGCAGAAGTGCAGTGTGCTCTTCAGTCACTGGCTAGTGGCTCACCTGGTACCTTGACTTTCAAATGTGCATGTGGACAAGTTGTGAGGATTCATCCTTTGGTATTTGTATAGCATAGTAAACTCCTCAGATAAAAACTGTTCTAAAGAAGATGACAGTATAACCTAGTAGATACAGGTGCAGATAGATTTTACTAGTTTCTGCATGAACCTGTGGGTGTTCAAGTTTCCAGGAAGGAGCCAATATCACTCCAGACTTCCAAGCGTATCAGTTTTATTGTCAGCTGTAAGCAGAGTATTTTGAATGTCCTATTTTACTGAAATGGAAAAGTCTACTGTAATCAAAACTTACAGCAGTAGTTTTCTTCCCTTATTCTTCATAACTGATAAAGTTGGGCTAATTTATGTGAGACTGTTTTCTAAAGTGGCATACAACATTGGTTTGACAGAAATGCTGGGTAGTCAGTTGTTCATATTTTATCTTTATTCTGCTGTATAATGAGCTTTTGAAGCCAATGAATTATCATAGCAAAATATTTAGAGCTTGGAATACAGAAGTAAAAATGTTGGGAAACTTATGGATCTCCACTAGAAACAAACCTAGTTAACTAGCGGTTGCTGAAAAACAACAGGACTCAGATCACAAATATTTATTCATATTACAGCTGAACCTAACTTGCACTTTACATTCACTTTACGTTGCACTTTTTTACATGCATTTTTTTATTCGGTAGTTGAAAAATTGGAGTGGGGATTGGGGGATCCCTGCAAGGTAAGAAAGCATCTGTGTCTGTATGGCTGCCTTTGTAAATATCTTTTTCTGTAGATATCTGTTGTACGTGGATTTAGATATAGATACATTCATATCTATTAGGGGTATAGACATTTGGTTAACTTGAAAGCTCCAAAGTGTCGTTTGTCACATTTATGGTAGGAACTTTAACAGCGTTAAATACTTATTCTTTTCCAAAGTGACTTTTTTCTTTTCCCTCTACAAAAAAAAAATCAAAATGTACTTCATGAAACTATTGTATATGAAGCACTTATTAGCCGTAATTAAATGGACAATATGAATTTACTACGTCTTTAGGACTCTGGCTTGTTCTGGTTTAGAGCAAGATGATTAATGCAAATACATATTACTTGAGATAACCATTTAGCAGCTAATTTAGCCAAATTTATTACAGCAGTTAGAGGTTTTTCATTTTAGCAGACGGAGACAAGGACATGACAAAAGCAGAAGGTGTATATGAATGCACACTGCCCTCTAGTGCACAAAGCCTTACGGGATTAGTGAGAAATGCAGAGAGTAAGTGCTCCAGTAACAATAGTGCCCAGATTTTGTATAGTTTAGGTTTTCCTTAAAACCGTGCTGCTCCCTTCCACTGAAAGATTTCCATTTCATCTCCTTCTCCTGACACTGAAGCATCAGATACAAACCAAAACCGTTTCAGCTTGGCAATATTTTGGTTGAAGTATTTCTTTAAACATCTGTATTTTTAAACCTTCTTGCTGTGAGCACTTAATAACACCGTTTCACATTACTGATTGCTTTTACTTGTTTCTCTGTTTCCTAGCATGTTTCAAACATCGGTGAGAGCTGTCACTCTTTGGCTCTAACCAGGCCATTCTGTGCCTCCCTTAGGCCTCTTTCTCGGTCTGTTGGTGGATTTACTTTGCTCTGGTAGAAAGTAAATTCTCCCAAGACTTCCCCCCCACTGACCAGTGGAGATTTCGTTCATCTGAGAACTGTAAATTCTGTTTGACAAGATCAAAGAAACAGATGTATAAGTTCAGTGGTTGATATCGCTTGCAATAAGGAGAAATGATCAAAGCAGCAGGGGTAGAGTATCTTCCCAAACCTTTCAAATATCCAGAATCTCAAAGAGGTCTACCAAGGAGCTATGAATAAATCACATATAAATTTGCCTCTTTTTTTTCCTTTTCTTTTTTTACAGTTTGACATTGAGTGCATTGAAAATGTCCACACAGCAATAAGTATTCTGTGAACCAAAGAGATTTATAGTTCCTTTTACTTTTCTTCTTCCACTAGAGTTTCCAAAAACAGCTTAAAATTACACTTTAAAAACTTGTAAAACATACAGATAGTTATACTGAACTTCAGATCCTGTTTGTCATCTCACTGGCATGCTGCATTAAACCTAAAGTAAACCAACTATCTTCTGCTCATACATGTGGCATGTTGTACAATGAAAATCATTTTACCACAGTTCTAACATGCACTATATCTTGCTTCTGTTTTGTTTGTATTTTTTTGCCAGTGCTGAATAAGGGTCAATGTGTAACAAAGTATTACCGCTGGATGCAGAAGAACGGAGGTTATATCTGGATACAGTCTAGTGCAACCATAGCTGTCAATGCCAAGAATGCAAGTGAGAAGAATATCATCTGGGTCAATTACCTTCTTAGGTAGGTCTGCCAGTCACTTCTCCTACTTGAACTGCTGTTGCTATTGCTTGTCTCTATTGGTGAGGGTTTTAGGGAAAAAACAATCGCCTACTGGACAAAGGTAAGGAGAAGAACTTTTCATATGGTCCACCTCAAAACCAGTGCCATTTGGTTATATTTATTGAGACATCTGTCATGTCTCAGTACACTGGAATATTCTTGAATTACTATGCTGCCTTAATCTTCAAATAAACCCTCCACCATTTTATTGCATGCCTCCACTGCCCTGAAATCTACTCAGCCTGAGCTCAAAGATAAAAATGATCCACACCAACTTTCAGTAGTTGTGTTATAAAATCTGGTGTGAAGTGTTGGGCGCTGGTTTATTTGGTTATTGAAAATGCATGGAAGCAAACTTGTGGAATGCTGCAAAAAGGTCTCTCTGAAAGGTGTTTGTCAGTCCACTCCAGAAACAGGAATTTTCTCAGGAGAAAAGCCTTAAACTAATATGTTGCTCCTGTAACCATCAGGCAGTATTCACACTGAAAAATGCAAACTAGGATTTAAAAATAAAAGCAGCAATTAAAACTATTTTAAACTATTAGAACTATTTTAAACAGAAATAGTAGTAACACCTTGAATTAAAGGCTCTTCCCTGAGAAATTCTGTTTTACCAAAGCCCAAGTATTTTTAAAGGACTAGTTTGTGAGCTCAAGGGAAGACCAACAGTCACTGAGAGACAGTGAATTATAAACCTGACCTTTCTCATCTGAAAATACCTTTCAACACATTCTGTTTTGTGAAAATGTTCAATAAGATTGGGGGATTTTCTGTTTCATTCCAGAGCAGAACAAACAAACAAATAAAATTTGAAACCTTGAGATTGTCATGAAATGCAATTGTCATTTTCTGGCCTGTTCTCCTTTTAAGTTGCTTGTCATGGTTTGTTACATTCCCTTTGATGCCATGAGAGTTCAAAGGGATGTCTAGGGGTTAGATTGTGACTTATTATGCCAAGTCCAGAAAGCCCTGAAGAGATTGTGCCTGCCTAAACTTGCATGTTGAAATACTTTTGATTCCCCTTTTGGGGAAGAGGAAGAAGCAACCCCTGGCAGGAGAGCATTGAGGGATATTGTGGGAAACCTTCCACAGCAGTGGAGTGTTCATTGGGGCTTGCACGTTTCTGTCCTGCTATGATTGAGCACGGGCATTTCTGAATATATCCTTATCCTGCTACTTTTTTATTTCTTTTTGCAAGAGTGAGGCAGAATGCAGCATTTCAAGAGGTCAGCTTAAGCCTGCCAATTTTGAACTGGAAGTACAGCTTCACTGCCCCAGTCCTAACAGGGCTTCAAAATGCCCAGAAATGTGCTCATATTCCAGCTGGAAAAGTCATCCATAAGAATTATGAACAGTTGCCTCTTGTCCCCTTTGCTGCTTTCCAGACAACCTTGTCCACAAATGTCCCACAAAATTGTTTTCTCTACCAACAGAATATACCTAACAAAAGAAGAAAAGCAATGTGGTCTTCCCCAAGTCTTCTCCCAGACCTTGATTTTTCTGCTGCATTCCCTTCACTGGTCTGTTAGAGAAAGATTAACTTCTCCACTAAATTTGTATTTTTAATTTAGATTTCCCCTAGTACTGGAATCCACAAAAGATCCAAATGTCCAAATAACATTTTAATGACACATCAAGGCATAATTAGGTCTACTCTTAGCAGGAGTACTGGTCTGTATACATTTCCATGCATTAGAAATTATGATTCAGCTGTCTGTAAAAGGATAGACTAATTATAGTGACAGGGAGGATTAATGCTGTTCTTGTTCTAGCAACCTTTTATTCACAGTGTGAAAGCCCTCAAACATCTTTTGCTTGGAGGGGGCAAATTTGGGGACTGCCCCGAGATGCAACAGAATAAAGTCACTTTGTCAGGACAAAACCATAAAGATGATAATCATAAGAATGGCATTGCAATGTGAACTGTGTGAACTCTGAATTTTCACAGTACACTGTAATAGGTTGAATATGCTCACACTGTCATTGTGATAGTGTGTCAGTCACCCCCAGTGCTGCCTCATATTGTTCTACACGGGACTGCAGATTTTCTGCTCTATCACCGGGCTGGAATTTGAACTGCACAGAAACACTCACCTATTCAAAAATTATTAAAGACTTTGTTTATTTTCAACATTCCTATGCCACTTATGTCTAGCTGTGTTCTTCTGCCTTTGCACCGATTTGGGAAAGGAACACATTTTAAAAGGTACAAACCAAGAAAAAGCATAGGGTTGGTTTTTTTTTTTTTTTTCCAGTTTCTGTGGTAGTGTAGCTTTTTTACATTGCAGTCATGTTCATTGCTAACAAGTCACAGGTGAGCACCACATGAGCAGATGAAGATATGATTATAATGGGTGTGTTGACAGTTCTTTATCCCTAACATATGCATCTTAACATGCACATGTGCATCTGTCATATAGTTAGAGTGGTTGCTTTTGGTTTCTTGGTGATGTGAATGCATGTGTGCAGTGTTTAAAAATTATATAACCTTTTTTATCTATTTTTTGGCCTAATTCTTTTGAGCAGTGGTCATTTTCTCTAGTCCTAACTGAGCACCTTCTTACTAACTTTATGTATGGTCTGCTTGATTAAAGTGTGGAAAACAGGAATGTTGAGAAAAACAGGTATTGAAAGGGCTCTGGCAAGGTTGATAGAGAACGTTGTTACAGAGATAACTCTAATAGACATTGCCGGTGGGAGAGAAACAGATTGGAAAAGTTAAAACACCCTCTCTGTCCTTCCAGGCGCAGTAATGGGATCGAAATCAAGATATTTTGTTGTTGGATGATTACACAGTGTAGCTTTACTGTTAGCTGTCACACAAGCCATGGTGTCCCACTTCAGTAAGAATGCTTTGATAGCTCTAAAACTTCACTAGAGTCAAACGAGTTTTAGTACCTGGTCAATATAAGTATTTGACAGCAGTATTAAAATAAACCTTCATAAAATCCCTGCTGTGAAGCTCTGAGGGGCCAAAAATGTATGTTTCTGTGTTTGCTCTGCTATTCTTCCTATTCATGTTCTTTGTTCCTGAACTTTGATATGAAAAGAGGGAAAAACCATGAAACTGCAAATCATCCAATTGTGTTTATATTTGCTGTCTCCTCTTCAGTAACCCAGAGTACAAGGACACTCCAATGGATATTGCACAACTTCCTCATCTGCCAGAGAAAACCTCAGAATCCTCAGAGACCTCTGACTCTGAATCAGACTCAAAGGACAACTCAGGTAACATACATGGTGTGCATTTACACCCACAAAAGGTTCATATCATGGGAGCCATGTGGTTGGCTTTCCAGTTGCTTTTATTTCTCAAGGATTGTTCCATTATAACAAAACAAAACAAAGAATCCTGTAAAATTAAATTGAAAAACACTAGCAAAATCTTGTAATGACCTCAGCATTTCCACAGTATCTCCATTTCCTCAGTATTTCTCTTCACTCTGTGCATGCATCCTTGCCTACATCGCACTGAACTAAACATTTGATTTCCCAGCTAAGCTTCATGAACAGGTATTGTGCCTTGTGCAGAGGACTCAGGATTGTAACTGTTGAATATAATGCTAGTTCTATTCTTTCCAGAGTAGGCATACATTCTGGAGTCTCTACTGTCAATCTTTATGACCCTTTTTCCTGTATAAATACATTTTTGAAGAGTCTCACCAGGGGGCAGTGATGATTGCAAAATTTGAGGGTTTTCTTGGGTTAAAAGAATTATATTTTATTAGAAGGTATGGGTTCAAGCACTTGTTTCTAAGCTCTTCAAGTCTGGGACTTCAGCTGTTTTTTAAAAGCTAAATGTACTTGTCAAACTCAATGTGTAAATTAGTCCTACAGATAGTCCAGTGCACCGATGGTTCGCGCATTCCCCATTAGTTTTGAAAGTGGTTACCTAGGCACAGGTACAGATCGTCTGGCTTTGAAAAGAGGATGGTTTCCTGTAGCCTAAGAACTAAGGATGTGGCTCTGCTGTAGAATATGAGAGAGAGAGAGAGAGAGAGAGAATTTTTCTCTTGTGTCTATGATAACAACCAAAAAAATCTGGAGAAAATGGATCTCGTTGATGTAAATCCAGCAAAAGCAAGAAGAGGATCAGGCCTTAATGTTATATTATATGATATGGCTGTTCCCTTTCATCTTTTGCCTTTATTTGTTCTCCTTTGACAGCTTGGTTTGATGGTTTAAGTCAACATTAGGCACACATACAGGCTTGTGGCCCACCATCACTGGGAATCTCTTCACCCATTCCCAGTGCTTCCTTTATGCTGTCTTGTTCCTAAATAGCCAAATAACACACATGTGGAGGACAGTTTGCATTTCCCACATGCACTGTAAGTTTCTCCGGGTGAGAAGTGCATGTGGATTCATGACTCCTAAGGCTGATGCAGAGCAAGAGAGCATTCTTCAAAGGTGCACAGATGTGTACAACTCAGAGGGGGATATCTGGGAGTCTTAGAAGACAGCAGAGGCAAGTTGTTGTTTCTTTCAAAAGAATTAAACAGAAATGCCAAAGGACCTGAAATCAGAACAGCATCTTGGATGAAAACAAGTTCAGTTCAAGCTCTGATAAAATCCCAGGCAAATTTTGTGCAGCTTCAGAGTACCTCACCCTAAGCCCACTCTTGACCAGCTAGAAACCATGGCCTTAAAAGAAAGCATCTTCAAAAAAAGAAAAAACATTGTAGAAGAAATTCAGCCCTAGGTGGAACAAAAAGCTGGATGAAATTTAGGGGTTTGTGGCTGTTACTTTGCTTCTGTGGGGTTTATTTTTCAAAAGGGAGGGTCTTTCTGCTGCTGGTGACTCAAGAAAAAGTCCCACTGAGTCACTTGGGAAGTGCCTTGCCCTGAATCCTCAGGCAGCTTCCCTGTCCAACCCACCTTCTCCAGCACTTCTGGGAAACTGTTTGGTATTGACATGGCTCCAGGAGTAACCAATCTTTAGAGGAAAACTGGCCCTTCCCCTCTCTCGCTAAAACAAGTGTATTGAAAAGGGTAGTACTTGGCTCTGATGAGTGAAAAAACATCTTTTATTTCCCAACAAAAGATTTCTGGCTGGTCTGTAAAAGGCGGGTGTCCTGAAGCATTTCATGACCCTTTCAAACGTAGTATGATAATAGAGAGTATTCATTCTCAAAGCTGCTTTGGCTGTCCGAGTCCAGTGGGCTAGAGTGTTTATCGCATCCATATTACAAATAGGTAAAAATTAAAACACAACTAAATGAATTCAGGCAAGAAGAGTGACAGCTTCTCAGTGCTGTAGCTGGGCTGTTTCCAATGGCCCTTAGATGATTTGGATCAATCAAGAATTTAATTCACTGCCTGAATTTTTTTTTCGTTTTTTTTTTTTTTTAATTTGTTGCCCTTCAGGGGAATATGAGAAGACAGTCTAGCAACATAACAAAATTGTTATAACTGGTTTATTCATTCAGATTTATACATGTATGACCTGCTTCTCCTCTCACACGGGAGGAAATCAGCAGTAATTCCACTGAAGTCAGAGACACTATGCCACTTCGAAAGTGGTAAAGGTGAGAGGAAAATGAGATGAGAGGACTAGAATCTTCATTAGTAAATAGTGCTACACCTGGATGCCTGCCCACTGTAGGAGAACATGGATGTGAAATAACAATCACCAGAACATAACGGTCATAATGGGATTGTTCACTGACTCCTCTTTGGATGACACAGCTACAATGCCATTTGTGCTTACAGTTGTCAAAATTATTCTTGTCCAGTGAGCAGATGAAAAGGTCCCACTCAATTAAGGTGCAGGCCATATAGCATAGGCTTTTAGTGCATCAACAACCCTGAGTCAGAGAGATTCATGGTGACCAAAACTCTCCCAATACAACGTTGCGAAAAAATTGCAGCTTTACAGAAGAGAACGCCTTTTGCCAAAAAAGTTTGCAGCAATCACATCTCATTGGTAGGTAGAAATCTGGACTTGGGTTATAATATTATGTTCCTGTTGCTAATGGTTTGTTTCACTTTCCTTTTGCTCCAGAGGACAATGAGAACTCAAAGTCAGATGAGAAAGGAAACCAGTCAGAAAACAGTGAAGACCCTGAATCCGACAGGAAAAAGTCAGGAAATCAGTCAGATAACGAAATGAACTGTAATGATGATGGGAACAGCTCCAGCAACCAGGACAGCAGGGACAGTGATGACAGCTTTGAAAACTCTGACTTCGAGAATCAAAAGGCCCCTGAGGACAGTTTTGGCACTCTTGGCTCTATGCAGATCAAGGTGGAGCGCTATGTTGAGAGTGAGTCAGACTTGCGGTTGCAGAACTGTGAATCACTGACCTCGGACAGTGCCAAGGACTCAGACAGTGCAGGGGAAGTAAATGCCCAGTCTTCCAGCAAACATCAGAAGAGGAAGAAGAGGAGAAAAAAGCAAAAGGGAGGCAGCATGACCCGGAGAAGGCTGTCAAGCACCTCAAGTCCAAATGGACTTGACTCAGCTTTGGTGGACCAGCCCCAGCTGCTCTCGTCGCCAAACAGTGCCTCAGTGCTCAAAATTAAAACAGAAATCTCAGAACCTATCAATTTTGATAATGATAGCAGTATTTGGAATTACCCACCCAACAGGGAAATCTCAAGGAATGAATCACCCTACAGTATGACCAAGCCCCCCAGCTCCGAGCACTTCCCTTCCCCCCAAGCCAGCAGTAGTTTACATGTCTCCATTCCAGACTCCGTTCTCACCCCACCAGGGACTGAAAATACTGCCAGCCGTAAAACTCAGTTCAGCACCTCATCCAACTCGGCCTTGGCTCCTGTGTCCTCTGACCCTTTGTCACCCCCACTTTCAGCATCTCCACGGGACAAACATCCAGGAGGTCCCACAACTTCCAACTCTTTGTTGTACACTGGGGATCTGGAAGCCCTTCAGAGGTTACAAGCAGGCAATGTGGTGCTTCCTTTGGTTCACAGGGTAACGGGAACCCTTGCTGCGACCAGCACTGCTGCTCAGAGGGTCTACACCACTGGCACTATTCGGTATGCTCCAGCTGAAGTTACTTTAGCCATGCAGGGCAACCTCCTCCCCAACACCCATGCTGTTAACTTTGTTGATGTTAACAGCCCCAGCTTTGGGCTGGATCCTAAAACACCGATGGAAATGCTCTACCACCATGTTCACCGACTCAATATGTCGGGACCATTTGGAAGTGCTGTGAGCGGGGCCAGTCTGACCCAAATGCCTGCAGGGAATGTGTTCACAACTGCCGAAGGACTTTTTTCCACTCTTCCATTTCCTGTGTACAGCAATGGCATTCACACTACACAGACTCTGGAACGGAAAGAGGATTGAAATATGACCACATACTGTGTTCAGTGTTATACTCTGAGGCATAGACTGTGTTTTAATTTAGACCTTTAATTCTAGCACTTTGAATTTGAGCAGGTCAGCTTATTCTCTCAATATGATGGTCCCCATTTCATTCCCTTTCTCTTTAACTTGACTTATTCTTTAATGTAAAGATATTTTTTTATTTTTGCCTTCAGAGAGTCGAAGTACCAGTTGCCTGCCATTTTGTCTTCTTCTAAGATGTGTGTTTTTTCCTTTGCATCTTTATTAAGATGCCTTTAATATGTGTATGCCTCTGCCATAGAATACTCAGTGTTGTGGTAAAGAGATTTTAAAGTGACAACCATTGGTTTTACTTCAAAATGATCTTGATATGATCAAGATTAAAAGAGACAAGCATAAACAATGTGCCCTGTTTGACTAAGTCAAATGAAAAGGGGTTTTTGTTCCTAATTCCTTTAAAAATAGGGGATAGTATTTTAGAATTTTATGCAGAGTTTAATTCTCTTTTTATGGTTAAGATTTTCTTACTTGCACATAAAATAATTTGGGTTCTTAAAAAGTTAATTTCTGGCCTGTGACTAGAATGTTAAAAAGTTGGACTAAATGTTAATTACTGAAACTTTAACTTAATTTCTAAAACCATGGTGCTATCATTTATTAATCTGTAATGTCTTCATACAATATGCAGCTTGTGGGCTGGGTTTTTTGGAAAGAATGTGTTCCGTACTGGTTTATAGTCGGGTGCTGCAGTCTCCTTGGTTAGTTAAGACAAAAGCCCTCATTAACATTTGCTGCAGGACTTAAAATTTTTTACCTCCAAACTAACAAGCATAGCCTCACATCAAATTTAAATGGGTCAGGAAGCCTTTTTCAAAAAGTGCTTAAAAACAAAAAACTCAATTTAATTGACGCGAGGAGCAGTTTCTTAGGTGCATATTGTTTTGCTTTATTTTTTTCTCAGTGTAACTGAGGCTAATTTTACAACGTCAAATAACACTTCGGAGTAAAAAAAAAAAAAACCAGAAGAACTATTTAACATGTTTTGTTTTTCATTTAATATTATAGAGGGAAGGTTGTAAATTTCTTTTTGTTCTTTGATTTGGGTATTTTTTGTTGGTTTTTCCTTATTTCTAGTGTTGAAACCAATATGTTTTAAAACTAAAGAATGGGTTAATAAGCTTGAAATAGATAACTACAACTGAAAACTGCACATTAAGTAAAAGAAAAGAAATCTCCTATTTTGTCTTTGTTGCCAGAAATCACAGTGTAGTGTCAAACACTCCAAATGACTGTCAAATATAAATTCTTCTTCCACTCCATCTTTGGCAGCTGTTTGTTAAGGCATCTAATAACAGATGTGAGAACTGTAATGTGTACAATGTGTAAGTGTCCTTGGCTGTCAGTCCCATTGCAGTTTCAATGTGTGTTACTATATGCAGTATATACTAAGCTAATGTAGTTGTTTTGTCCTTTGTCTTCTCTGTGCTTTATCTCTAGTCCGGAGTGGTAAAGTCCCATTCCTGCAGTCCTAGTGAACCAGTGATTCTTGGGGGTTAGTGGTTTTTGTGTGGTGGCCTTCCTCTGTAATGTCACCTTATGCTGCTTCCACTGTCTGTATACCTTTTAATTTCTGCTGTTGCTTTGCTGTTGTGTATTCTCAAACCTCTCTCCCCCCCTTCCTCTCTCCCCTCCTCTCCACGCCTCTCCCCTCTCTCTTTCTCTCGCTCTCTCGTTCTCTCTTCTTCACTCTCAGAGATAAAAGACTCTTAACTAGCTCAAGGTTAATGGAGCCATTTTTCCCACAGAGGAATTCTGGGTATGACTTACTCTTCCAGTGTACCCCACATGCACTACAGAGTAATGCTCAGATATATTAAGCAAATTGACGCCATATAGCCTCAGTTGTTAACATTCCCAGAGTCCCTTGTGCTCAAACTGTAAGCAGAGGGTGCATTTCTTTGGTTTTCTCCCAGGTAGGCTGGCGGAGTAATACGTAGAGCAATTACCAGTGAGATAGGAAATGCTTTCAAAGGTTAACCAGCATTGTTTAAAAAGGAAACTGAGCTTAGAATTGTCATATGTATTTGCTTATGTGTGCAATGCTAATATATTAACTCAGCTGTCCTTTGAATTTTTGATCACTCACTGCGTCGAGTCAATTCCTGCGGTAGCTTTGAATTTGAGAAGTAGGTCCAAGCCACAGCGGAGTGATAGCGAAAAAGGAATTGGACACCACAAATTTAATTAATGAGCTTTTAAAGGTTCCATTGGAAGGATTTAAGTAGGTCTAAAAAAGGCGAGAAAGCTGATTGGGAAATTCAAAGTTTAATTTTGGAAGCTCTACTCTAGCTGTGGAACAATCAAAGGAGTGCACCTATCAGCTACAAAGAACAGCTAGACAGCTGTTGTTGTTTTGGTTTTTTTTTTATAAATGTTTCTGTGTTGTGTCAAAATGATTTCTGGTGATTTAAACTAACAGATAATCACAGCTGCTGTCTAAATCCATAGTGTTTAAAATTACAAAATGAAAAAAAAACTTCATTACCTGTGAAGACTGTGTCTGTGTTTTTAACTATTTCTTGTACAAATATATGAAATCTTTTATGAGGAGACTGGTGCCAAGTAGCTGAATAATGGGGAAAGGGATTCTGTTCGTATAAATCTTAGCAGTGTTACCAACTCTACAATATAAAAAAAAATTAAAATGTTAAAAAGTGACAGCTATGGTACATTTATTTTGTGTTAAGCTAACCGAATCTAACTTCTTGAGTGCCTGGCTTATTTGAAACATTTTTTTCATTGATCATTGATAATGCTGCAAATCAGAAATGTACATACTTCATTTACAACAGGGTTCTTTTTATACTTTTGTAGATTCTCATACATGTCATACATGGTTGTCTTTATGTAACTTAATTTTTTTTCATCCCGCAGGTGCCATTTTCATAATAAACTTCTCTTGGATTTGTTACTATCTGGCATCATTTCTTTTACATATAACCATCCTGACTAATGAATGCTGGTAGTATTTGTTTGAGCAGGTATTTTTAAATTGTTTTGTTTAAAAAAAAAACCAACCAAAAACCAAGAAAAAATAACCAAAAATCAAAGAGGATAAAGCTAGATTTTATTAACGCTTGTGAAATGAAGAAAAGAAGCTGTCAAGATGTAGGTTAAGAATGCTAATCCAAATACTACAACAAACTTGCCACCATCCTAAATTCTCAGCTACCCCAACTCATTGTCATATTGAGCATTTTTATGCACATTATCAAAGCTGAATAATGGACCTGCAACATTAACCACTATAGAAAGTGTGCATTTTTTCTTGATTAATGCACACGGGAAGAGGTCAGCTTTTGTACATTAATCATTTAAAATGCACTTTATATTTTCATTTTTGTACTCTACAATGTTACAGTGAAACTCTTCAGTCACATTATATCCTACCTAGGCTGCTGATTCTTTTAAATGTGTGCTTTCTTTCCCCAGACTGGCGACATGTAAATTGTTGGTGTCGTGTGGCTAGACTTTCTGCCTTACAAACTGAGGTCAGAAACATTTACCAGCGTAGAAAAGAAAAGGCAAAAAGCCTTAACCTCACAACTGAAGGGGGAAAAAAAAAACCTCAAACGCAGTTTTGATTACGCAGACATCCACACACAGTGGCTGACCCTAAAAAGGGAACAGCCATCAGCGATTGCGCCTGCATAAGCTCTGAAAAAAGGCCCAGAGCACGCGTGTTTGGTCTCTGCTGTGGAAAAGCAGGGAGAAGCTATGCTACAGGAGGTGCCGCTCCGGGTACCCATGGCTGCGTCTGCTGACTTTGGGCTGGCTGCTGCAGGCCAAGGAGGGGCTGGGTCATGGCAGGGGTGGGGATCGGGAGCCGCCTGACCCTCCGCTCACGCGGTCTCTGCGTTCCTCCTTCATTCATTGGCTTTCTTTACGGTGCCTCCCCAACCTGTGACAAAGATTTCCAGATTCCGTATTTTATTTTGTTATTGCTGAGTATGCAATCTCTAAGAACACAAATTTGGGGCATGTAAAATCAAGACAGTGCTGCCCATAGCCAAAACGTGTAGGCAACTTTGCCTGCCCAAATCTTTTCTCCTCTGTATATCCACTTGAAAATTAAAACTATTGGGCTAGTCATTCTGGATCAGATTTTGGTTGCCTTATTAATGCTAAATAAAACTGTCTAATCAGTTGCACCGTTTTCAGCACATCTTTTTAAAGCAAAAGTTACGCGCAGCTGAAGTAAGAGCATGTGAATCAGGCTTGCTGGGCTGATAAAACAGGAAAAACACAAAAAATGTATGCACAGTTATAGCTTGGTGAGCCAGCCCAATGGCTTAATAGCCTGAAGTCTGGGTTTCTGAGTTTCCAAGCGGCTCAGGATTCCCACTTCCCAGGCTCCAAGCACCGAGTTTGATACATCTCCAACTTGCAGGGGGTAGAAAGGAGCAGAGGTTGGCGGTGCTGCTTTCAGCTCTGCTCACATGTTCCAGTTGGCAATGCATCTTGTTTATGAGGTAGCTAAGGGTACGGATGCCAACCGAGAGAGAAATGGAATTTAAATGGAGAGTGGAAGAATGACTAGAATAAAGCTTAATGGAAGAATAACATGCCTGTTCCAAATAAGTGTTAACCAATATTAACTAAAGCCACTAATCCCAAGAAGGGGCTTGAGGAGGGGAGTTTCCGAGCTCTTATAAAAGCTTTTTAAACCTCAACCATACTGCCTATACATTGCATCAGAGCAGAGAGTTGATGGTCAAAGTGAATAGACTGCTCTAAGACTTCCAGTTGAACGAGAAAGTTTGTGCATTAAAGAAAATTATGGAAAGGCTGGTTGGGGGAGGAACGGTTATAGTCATGCTGCTGCATCGATATAGTTCTGGGGAATGGATTTTGTAAATTGATATTTGTAGCAATTTTAAGAAACAAAACTGCTTGAAAGGGTTGAATCCTTTGAAAAGGGTTCTTTGGGGTTGGTCTAGTTGCTATTTTTGTAATATTTGGAAGAAAAACTGTTTGCCATGCAGGAAGCTGGGCAAACTTTGTCAAGTCATTTCATCAAAGAACATGTCCTAAAACAACTGATCTCAGTAACTGCTGTCTCTGGAAAGTTTGTTCGTGAGTGACTTGTTTTGCAAGGTGATATATGCAGGTATCTAAAAGCCACCTGAAGAGTTGCAAGGGGAAAAGGGCTCTCTCGAAGCATCATGACTCTGAAAAGTTACAGTGATAGAAAAATGTTTCAGGACTGCTTAAATAACTAGCTCTGACAGCTTGCACTGGTGCTATTGCAAGGTGGTCATGTCACTGGAGTAACTGTGATGCCTCTGACAGCACATTTATTGTTATAATTCTAGGAACTGCATTAGTTTAAATGTGTCAGTGCTTGCAGAGGTATTTGCATAGTATTTTTCCTTCTTGCCATTGTAATTTCTTTATTTTCATTTTAGGTCTGGGGGAGGAGGGTGGAAAGGCTGGATGTGCATTGTCAACTAATTTAATGAACTGTCATCTATCCAGTGAGTTTACTGAGGAGCCTACAGAAATGTGAACAAATGGGATGTCACCAGAGCCACAGATGCTCAGGTAAGATCAAACCATTTATAAACATGCACACAGACACACAGATCTGCTACCTCTGAAAGCCAGTTGGGCTTTCAGACTGGGCAGGTTAGTACCTATGTATATATGCATAATAAAGGTCCTTTCTTCCCCTCTTCCACCTATTCCTTCATCTTTTTGTCAGAAGGAGTGAGTACTGGAAGCTGTTATTCTCTCTCTCAGCGTTAGTAGTGTTTCTATAGTGTATGGACAGGTATATTTTACTGGCTGAAATAACACCCCAGTGATTCCTCTAATAGCTTTGAAATTTCCAAATAGCACTCAAGACCCAATTTTCATAAAACATATCCAGTCATATTAACACTTTCTTTTACCAAATCAAACAGGATCTTTCTGAAAGCAATAGGACTCAAGATAAGCCAAGGGTGAAGAGTTCTGCTTCTAACTGACCTGAATCAGGATGTGTATTCTCCACCACAGTTTTGTTCAGAATCCTAAATTTGGCCAGAGAGAGCGGAAGAACCACTTTCATTTCCATAATCACCATGAGGTGGGTCTTTCAGCAAAACAAATGCCCACAGTAGTTCAGAATTATTTCATATAAATGATCACATTTCTAGAAGTATCCCACTCTAGAAGTAAGACCAAAGAGCTTAGTGGCTCAGGTCCAAAGCCATGCAAATTAAGTCAATAATCATGAGTTTGATTACATTTGTAGGGAGTTAAAAATCTTTCCCATCTTGCAGGAATTGTGTAGACTAGATGCAATGCAGAAAATAAGGGATCTTTTAATAGACACCAACAGTAAAATGAGTACAGACTTCATGCCCAGGCGAAAAGGACCCAGTAAGGGTTTATGAGAAGTTAGTGGGAGAAGGTTTGCATTGCTTTGCAGATGGAGGACTTTATCACCCGGTGCTTTGTCTCAAATTACCTTTCACTGACTCTAGAGACACGGAAATTATTGGAAGTACCTTTCCCATTACAAGTTTTCCTGAGAAAAGGGACCTCTGTCTTGTTTGTGAAAAAAGGGAATGTAATATTTTCTTGCAAAAGGAAGGGGATCAGTTTTTCCTCTTGTTTTAAAAGCATTCACAGATTTATAGCGGAAATGACAGGAACAGGATGTATTAACCGTATGACCCTAGCAGAATGAGTCTACACCCTTGACTGATTTAAAAGTTTATCTGTGTCCTCTGAATAGGCACAAAGGGTCAAGCCTTGGTCCTGCTCAAATCAATGAGAGCTTGACTAATGGCTTTAATGGCTTCAGGAAGAGGACCACAGTTTTGAGCCAATACTCGTAAGCAAATAACAAAGCAAAGCCTATGGCACAAACCACAGACAAATGAGCCTGGCTAATTGGTACAGTGCATCAAGTTTCCTTTCTAATCCTGTACCACACCACTTACACACTAAGAGAGCAGCTCCTTTTTGTTCAATTAAAAAGTCTTTCCCAGTCTTCCAAACTGCATGGTCTGATCCTTCCATAGATTCCTGCTTTTAAAATGGGTGGGGAGTGAGGCAGAGGCATGGGTAGGACTGGAAAGACTCTGCTTTCTCACACATGCTCTGTGGGAGTGTGCTTGGCTGCCTGGATCTTTAATAAGAAAGCAAAGGACTCTGAGTTGGAAACTGTGCTGGACATCGAAGCTTGTATTTTCTTGAACTACCAGCAGTGCAAACCCTGATGGCAGCACCAGCATCAGCAGTATTCCCACCCCTTCTTTGAGTATCATCCAAGATATGGGGAAGTTCAGCACATTGTAAAGAGGTTAGTATTCACGAAACGAGTTTCCAGTTTCTGTTCAGTACTGTGAATCTCTGAGGCCCCTTAGCATCCTTTGCGGTCTTTCCTGTATCTCAGTTAAAATTTCATTTCTTTCTTCTAGCCAGTTCCTTCCTTTATTACAGCATGTAAGATAGCACCTTGCAGGGTAGTGACAAAGCTGATTCCAGCTCAGGAACTCCGGTCTCCTTAGATTATAGCAAATGGAAGGAACTAGGGTTCTCCAAAGATTTACTTTGGACTGAAAACACACCCTAAATGCTGTGATTGATCCCCATAGCAAGGACCTGGGGATCTTGGACTTCGCAGGGTACAATCAGTTTCTGAGAATGCGCCTCCCACTTATTGCTCATTGGCACGTTAAACAAGCTCTGATTTTTGCCTTCTTTCCCACTTGAAAAGAAAGGTCCTTGCTGCTCTGTATGCTTTCACCTCTGCTCAGGACCTGCAGCTGAGGGGCCTGGCCCGGCCCCCGTCAGTTCCCAGATAATTTTCTTCACTGAGTGTTACCTGAAATTTCCAATTGTGTGTTGATGTGATCATTCACTTCCCATGAGGCTGTAGCCTCATGCCTTCATGTTTTCT